GCGCTGCTCTAAGGTTTCTGGTAATAGAAAATCATGGCAGCATAAGGCTGGGGTTTTAGTGGAAAGAACACTGGCTTGGGTATTTGGGGAGCTGGGTCCTCCCCCTCATAGAATGTCTTTGCTAAATGTCGCTTGGCTTTCTTTTATGCATCATGAAAGAACTGGATTAGATTAGAGATTCCCAACCCTGGCTGTACATGAGTGTAACCGGGGGAGCAGTCAGAAGAACACTTAAATGCTCCTATGGCGAGAGCTGCTGGATTAGACTCTTGGTCTCCAGTTCTTGTTAAGGGGCTTTTATCAAACCTGTAATAGTCTGGGATATGCATTCTTAGCAATTCCTATTCCATAAGGACCTATGTGAATCCAGATTTTTCTCCCTTATGCTTAACCGAAGTGTGGTTACTGAGCACAGTTACTGTGTCCTCTAATGTTTTTCTGATGTGAGACCCACCAATGATATGAGAAGCACGGTTGGGTGGAGGAGAAGTGGAGAAGCATTGCCTGACCTCAGCCAAGTGACCTGGTCTCTTTGCATCTCATCCTCCTCACCTATAAGAGGTCACCCGAGCCCCACTCCATGGGCTGTGGTAAAGGTAACTGAAACCATGGGGACAAAGCCCAGTGTCTGGCCTTGAGAACATCCTCAAAATCTTGGTTCCCTTTGCCTTTGGCAGCAGGGAGAAAGTAAAAAGGGAAGATGAGGATGGTGTCACTTCTGAGAGCATCTCACTATCTATCCCCTCTCCTACCAACAATCCCCATCATGGGTTGAATTGTGTCCCCTCAAAATTCATATGTTGAAATTCTAACCCCAGGAACCTCAGAATGTGACCCGATCTGGAAATAGGGTGGTTGTTGATGTAATTAGTTAAGATGAGGTTCTTAGAGTGGGCTCTACATCAGTTTGATCGATGTCCGCATAAAAATGGGAAGATGAGACACAGGGACATACATGCAGGGAGCATGTGAGGGTGAAAGCAGAGACCAAGGTGATGCTTCTACCAGCAAAGGAGTGCCAAGGATTGCCAGTAAACTTCTGGGAGCTGGGGAAAAGACTGGAATAAGCTCTCAGAAGAAACCAATCCTGACAACACCTTGATCTGAAACTTCCATCCTCCAGATCTGTGAAACAATTCCATTCTGTTGTCTGGGCCACACAGTTTATGTGACAGCAACTGTAAGAAACTGAGCCAACTCCAGAGGTGGCTCCTATGGGTGGCATCAAGGAGGACAGCTCTTTCTAGACAGAAGGAGGCACTGCAGTCCCACAGGAAGGAGGAGGATGTGTGAAAGCCCTGAGAATGTTCCTGCTGGATTCCAGCTCAGCAAGCTGTCTGCCTCGTTCAAGGAACAACTTGACATTCTGAACCTCACCCTGCTCAGGACTGTCACTCATTAGCCATAATGTTGTATCCCTGTGTTTCTTTGTGATGTTACCTCCACATTTCTCCATGTTTTGTTTTCCCAATTTGACCACACACTCCTTGAATGCTGGGATGATGCTATAAAGAAAAGTGAGAGTCAGGGGCCCTCACTGATAAAAATTCTTGGTGTGGGGCACCTGCATGGCTCAATCAGTTAAGTGTCTACCTTCAGCTTAGGTCATGGTCCTGGGGTCCTGGGATTGAGCCCAGAGTGTGGAGCCTGCTTCTCCCTCTCCCTCTGCTACTCCCCCTGCTTGTGTTCCTACTTTCTAATAAAATCTTTAAAAAAAATTCTTGGTGTGACCTTAGGGACATCCCTTCTCCCTTCTGTACCTAGTGTCTTCATCCGAGAGATAGGTGCATAATCTTTAAGGCCCCATCAAGTCACCGTATTCTGTGATTCTGACTTTTAGCATCCTTGTTATTTAACCAACCTGCTTGCTTGGGATGCAAAAGGAAGGGAGACTCAGGAAACGCATCTTGAGATGTGCTGACAAGCCAGCCTTTTGGGGTTAAATGTGTCAGACTCATTTAATGAGAGGGCTGGACCCCAAGGGCTCAGGGGTTAGTATGTACTGCAGTGGCTCCCAGCCCCACTGGGTCCCCTTCCTAGGCTCTAGGGCTTCCCACTTCAACACCCACCTGTCTATAAATCCTCTCCCTTAGTGATTGCCGATGCTTCATCCTTATACTGCACGTGCCTGACCTCATGCCCATGGCGGGACTGAGCTCCAGAATGCCTGTTAGAAGCTGCCTGTGGCTGCTTCGGGGGCTTGGAAGAACAATGTTACCTTCCCGTGGGGCTATAGTATTTTGAGTAGCTCATTTGTCTTACCTCTGAGGGATCACAGCATGTCTCAGCCTCCACTAAGAAGAAGCCTGGACCTGATATAAGAGTCTTTAAGGATCTTCCTAATGGCAGATAGTCCAGAGGCTGGAGCAGCTGGGTAAATCATGCTCTTCTGGTTCCAGGAAACAGGGACTCACACAGACCAGTTCAAGTAATGGTGGGTGGTATAGCAGTGAAGGCAGGGACCCGATTGAAAAGTGCTTATAAGAGGGTTGGAATCTTTTAGAAATTGAAGACTGGACACTCAATGACGAGCTTCATAGAACCAGGTACTAGAAGGTCATTCTACTTCTAAGCTTCCTCTGGGGACCTCACTCCAGTGCTCTGCGGCTAATGTGACCCCACTGCTCTCCAGGGATTCACTTCTGTCGGCATCTCTCTGCTTCTCTTCCCCATTAGTGTTCTCCGAGGCATGCTTCTGGTAGAACACGAGGCAGCAAAAGTGAAGACGCGTGAGTGAATGTTTTTATTGTGAAAGCACTTAGTACTTCGTTTTTTTTTACATTTATATTCCCCAAATTTATATTTGGGGAAAATGCACACCTAAGAAGTATATCAATTTAAAATCAGTACATAAATAGTCAGGGTGGGATGCTATAGCAAAATCATGAAGGTGGGTCACACATGACCAAAGTCTGAGAAACCCTGGAGTGGCTGTCCTCGGATCCAGTGTCTACCCTCAGACAAATCAGCGTTCAGGGAAGTAGGGTTGCCTGATGTCGGATACGGCTGCCCAAGTTCTGGCTCTTCTCCAGAGGCTGAGGACAGAGCAGTATCTTCAGGAAAATTCTGTGGGCGGGGGCAGCTTGAGGTGTTACTATGGACCTCTAGGTTGAGTTGTAGTTCTGGGGGCCACTGTCCGGGAGTGTCTGACGTGGGCGTGTGGTTTCCAGCCTTCTGTGACCTTACTCTGAGTGGAGGTTGTGAGAATTGAATGTGATCATTGATACAAAGGTGCTTTGAAAATCAAAGTAAGGAGTCAGTAGGCAACCTCCCTCTGCTCTCCCGCCTCAGTCTCTTCATGGGGCGATGACAGATTGAGCTGACAGAGGGAGCTTCCAGCTTCTTCGTAGTTCTGCTTGGTTATAAGTGCCCTGCCTCTTCCAGTTTAGCCCCCAACCACCAACCTGGTGTCCAGAAACTTTTCCTCTAAAATGCCAACAATATAGAGAAGAAGATCACGAGCCCCCTATTCTCTAAGTTACGTATTTGTAAAATGTGGCATTCGTGCCCTGCTTTTTTAATAAAAATTCCATATTCCCTTGGCCTAGCTTATCTCTTTAGAGATGTTTGCTTTTTACTTAGATTGTCAATTGGCTCCAGTTTCTCTTTGATCTTCCATTTTGTTTGAACTCGAACGCCCTGGGCCCACCGTCTTTCTATTAAACAGTAATGACACATACACGAATTCATTTGGAGGCCCTCTGGGAGCGAAGGGGCCCTGGGGCAGCCTCCCTCAGGCCTGTGAATTGTCATTTCTGAAGGCTTCTGTTTTGTAAGTTCTTTTGCCAAGTTTCTATGGGAGCGAGGAGATCATCTTCTCCCTTTTCAAAGAGCAGGGTGAGCTAAGGCCTCAAGCTGGCAAGTCCTCTAAAGTCATTTTTCAAAGGAAACCTGAACCCAAAGGCCATGTGGCTGGCAAAGGGTGGTGTGACTTTGTGAAGCTCTCTCTGGGGCTTTGGGTGCTCAGCCCCCACAGACCTCTCAGCACGTGCCCGGAGCCTGTTGCAAAGGCTCTGCCAGGGGCCACCTCTGTCCAACCACTGGCCAGAGGGCCCAGGGAGGCTGCTCCACAGCCCCACCCCATGGCCACCCAGCAACCAGGAGAGGGCGAGTGCGGACTTTCTCCTCTGGGCCGGGGGCCAGGACCATGCTTGTCCTCACTGCTCTTAGGTCTCATCAATCAAACTTGCTCCTTGGGGCTTTTTGAGGTGAAACAAAGCTGGATGCCAAAGCAAGCTGGGGTGAACTAATGTCTGAATCATGGACTCATAAATTATCTAGTTAATCTAATCCTCTCATGCACAGGTTGGGAAAGGGACACAAAGGGGAAATGGTTGTCCCAAGTCACAGAGGAGGAAAGGGCTGCTTTCCCCCAGAGTTCTCTGGACCAAGAGCACTTCTCCAGGGATGGAGGTTTGCTTGGCTGGATGCGAGTCTATACGTACCTGTCAGTCATCAATCACACAGCAGGTACCGGAGATGCTCCAAAGGCACCAAGGATGAGAAATGTATGACAGGGCCAGACCTGTTCATATTGTCCCCTGAACCCTAGCAGAGAGAAATTGTTTATGAAGCCGGGAGGCAAGAGGCACTTTCACAGAACGGGCAAATTCTCCAAGACACAGAGAAGGAAAGGAGGCCTATACCTTTCATGTCAGAAGAGCTAAAAGGGAAGTCACAAAAGTTTAGCCTAGAGCTTTGAGCGAAAGACAGAAGCAAGAACCAGCCAGAAAGAGAGGTGAGAGATGGTCCATCCCATATCCCCCGCCGGAGCTCCTCCTGACCAGAGTCTGGAGCCTGCAGCCTGTCCTGGTCTGGGAGCCAACAGTGGGTCCCTGCCCAGCTTCCAGGAGCCAGCCCCAGTCTCAGCCTGCCCGAGACCCCAGCAGCCAGCAGCCACTGCTCTCCACGAGCCGGTCCCGCTAGGTTCAGAGCAGAGGAAACCAGACCCATTCAAGTCCTGATCCCCACACAAGGAAAGACCTCTGGAACGAGCCCACTTGACTTTTCAACATTTTATTCTTGTATTTGTACAGCTATATTTTACAACGCGGTAATGCAGTTTAGACACAGCCAAACCCTGTCTCCGGAGTAGTTCTAACACAAGCATGACGCAGAATGTGATGAGACAAACATTCCCAAGGAGAGCTTAGTGAGCGACAATTTCAAGTCCCTGTGTCTGCCTACACTTCAGAAGGGATGGCGCGCTCGTCCATCGCTGAAAACTTCCATGAAAAAAGGCACCGTAGGACACGTTGTACAGGTATATACAAACCGAAAACTAGAACAAAACTACACATTTTTCCTTCGGCAGCTTTTTTTTTTTTTTGTTCTTTTTGTGTTTTTTTTTAATACACACTTTGTAAATTGTAAACCTTCACTTGCAAAAAAATACAAATACACTGAGGCATTTTAGACAAAATATTTTCTTACTTATACAGATGCAATACTTAAAATATTCTCTTAAGTGCTCTTTCTCAATAAAGATTCTCAGATCCGTGTCTGCCTGCAGATACAAAATCGAGCCTTTAACGCAGTTTTATATTTTTAATATATCTTTTTTAGGTTTATATATATTTATTTTATATATATATATATTTATATATTTACAGCTCTGCCATATATTCCTTCACCTTTGGTTAAAAAAATTAAAGCCCTCTCTTTGATAACATACCGAAGTCTCTTCTTTTAAAAGAATGCACATTTACATACAAAAGAAACATCTGTCCCCGCAAAACATATACATTCCTCATTTTGCAGACCAAGTCAAGTCAAAACTTTTGCCTACTCCCCCACTTTGATATATAAAATGGTTTTGCTTTTTGCTGACATGGTTTGCCTTACACATAGGAGAAGAAGCAATATTATTTTCTTAATGTTTTATGGCAGTAGGGGAAGGGAAGCTGCCTTGGCCCCCCAACCCCACGCCCCTCCCCCCACCCCCACCCCAGCTATGATTTGCACTAGTGGATGAAAGAGGCACTACGTCATGGGATGAAAGTCGTAAAGTGTTACAGTATCCTTTGGGTAGATTCTGAGAAGGGACTCTAATGGAAAGCATCAACACTCCATGCTTCAGCAGGCTTTGGGGAGCTCCGGGGGCAGGTCGGTGGCAGACACGCGGTACTGCACCTTGGTGTTGGTGATGGCGCCGTGCTTTTGGCGCAAGTGAAGACGCAGCTGGCTTTTGTGACGGAAATGCAGGTTGCACTTCTCACACTAAAGGAAAACCAGAGGCAAACCGTTAGCTGTCACCAACCCCAGGGATGTGTCATTGCCTGAAGACCCAGAGAAGGAGATTCTTCCTCAGAGAGATCTGGGCAGCTCATCCCTCTGGGAGGCCAGGTTGAGAATTCTGGCTCCAGCTAAGTGATAAGGAAGTGTTGTGCAAATGCCCCTTCCCTCTTTTCTAAAGCGGGGAACTGTTGCTCCTGCTTTTCCCTAGCCAAGTGCCCCATTTTGCTCCATGGGTTCTGGCTTCCCCTTCAGTAAAGGACTAAGTTGACACGCTCTGAAGGTCACTCTTTACTGGACAGTGGTGCATCTAAAGTTCCAGCAAATATTCATTGTAGTCTTACTGTGTGCCAGGACTATCCTGACACTTGAGTGAATTTTTTATCTGAACACATCAACTCCACGGAGAAGGTACTATTATCAGGCTCATTTATAGCTGAGGAAATAATGATATCACGAAAATTTTTTTAAAATTTAAAAAGTTAAAAATCAAAAAAATTTAAAAAAGAGAGAGATTTAATTTGCCCAAGAACAAAAGGCAAGAGAGAAAACATTCACTCAGGGACTGTTAAATAAGTGGATAAAAATACCTCCATTTGCAGGTTCCCATCTGTGACACAGGTTAACCATTCATTCATTCATTCTTGTGTCCATCACTACCTACAGTGAGGCCACACACCCACCCAAGTCAATATCATCGATCATAGTGGTTTCCATGCTTATAAACCACAGGACTCTCTTTTCAAGTTCAACAGAAACTCAAAAGGTAAAAGAGGCGGTGGGGTTGACTGAAAAAGCACAGTCTGAACACTGTTCATTCATCTAAGGCATCCTCATCCTTTTATAAAGAAAACTGCGGTCCCCTGAGAGAGGGTCACAGCTTGCCTATGGCCCTAAAAAGGTCCTTGTCGGAGTCAGAATAAGAAGCAGATATCCCAGCTGCCCACCAGTATCTCTCCCCTCTGTAGCAGAGGTCGGCAAACTATTTTAACTGGGAAAGAGCCGGACAGTGAATATATCACAATGACCACTCTGCCCTTGTGGTAGGAAAGTCCCCAGGGATAATATGTAAGCAAATGAGCATGGCTGTGTCCCAATAAAACCTTGCTTATGGACACTGAAAATTAAATTTTATGTAATTTGCACATGTCACAAAATGTTATTTCTCCATCTTATAGCCACTTAAAAATATTAAAACCATTCTTAGCTTATGAAATGTTCAAAAATTAGCCTGCAAGCCACATCTGGCTGAAACCCTCCTCCTGAACACTAGGATTCCAATGGCCCACTCATGGTACCCTGTCACGTAGCTGGTCACCTGCTCCTTCTTATAATGGTCTTTTCCCTGTCTTTTTTTTTTTTTTTTTTTTGTTATATCACCACACTTTTCTGAGTCTCCTCCCACTCTCATGGCTGCCCCTTCCCAAACACCTTAGGTCCTCTTAAGGAGACATCTCACCCAGCACAGCAGCATACTGTAAGAAGCCACTTAGTGTGGAATGAATGGATGACTCCAGAATCGATGTATCTATAGTCCAGACCTCTTTCCTAGGGCCCAGATCACCTGGCCCAATACCCCTATTTTACAGATGAGCAAACTGAGACACAGCCAATGTCCAGCAGCGTGTCTGACAACCAGTCCTCAACCAGGTCTTTTGACCATTAGTTCAGGGGTCATCCCCCACTGTGTGCTTGAGATTGGAGCAAACAGTTCTGCTGCCCGCCTCTCCCCCATCACCCCACCCCGTCCAGGCCAGCTGACAGCCACAAGAGGCTCACATACATGGTAAGGTTTCTCTCCTGTATGGATTCGCAGGTGGCTCTTCAGAGTCTGAAGGTGCCGGAAACGGGTGCCACAGATTTCACAGGGATAGGGCTTCTCTCCAGTGTGGATGAGCACGTGGGCACGGAGGTGGGCCACCTGAATGGAAAAGCGAAGCATGAGAGGTTCTGTTGGGGTGGGCTGTGGGCCCCCTTCCCCCACCGCCCCCTGGAGTCCCTCATCAGCACACGGAGGCCGAGGTGTCTCTTCCCCGTGGCCCTGCTCACTTGTACAAATCTGGCTCCACATGTTTCGCATTTGTAGGGCTTCTCTCCAGAGTGAATTCGAGTATGGGTTTTCAGGTTGGCTGGCCGGTTGAACTGGGCTCCACAAATGTTACAACGATAGGGTTTCTCACCTATTCCCAAAAGAAAGGGAACAAAGAAAGCCATATTTGTTGGAGGTCTCCACAGTCCCGGGTCCCTGGATCTCAAAGCCACCTGCCCTTCCTGGGCCATGTCAGCTTTCTTTCCTTCGGAAGATGTCTGATAGAGGATGCAGGGGCCTGCCAGTTCCCTGCCCTCACCAAACACACACATACCACCACAGGCTGCAGGCTGGGGCAGAGGGGACACAACACTGGGGGTGGGACAGGGAAGCAGGGAGGGAGGTTCCAGGAGGCCTTTGAAATAGCTATGTCATTAGGATGATCTAACTGCAGACTTGGATAAGTCACTCTCCTCTGGACCTCAGTTTCCTTTTTGGAATTTGAGGGGTGAATTTAGATGACATAGTAAGGCTCTTCTAGCTCTTCCCTTGGATTAGACTGATTCAGTAATCAAGCCATTCACCAGGAAGATACAATCAGGATGCTCTAGTTTCTCTTTTAGAAAAACACATGCTTTTCCACTTTGTGGCAACAACAGCTGGATTTCATTTGCAAGAAGGTTGGGCCTGAGTCAGAGTAGATGCTCAGGCTGGGGAAGCCAACAGAAGGCCTGAGCCTGCCTTCGTGGAAAGTTTCTGGGATAATGGACACATTTAAAATACCAAGAGAGAGTCAACTTTGGCCAAAAATTGGGTCATTAGAAGCTACCTGGTAAAGGAACGTGAGTTGATAAGGAGCGAGCCCTGAGAGGAAATCAAGAGGCTTTTAATTTTTTTCTGGGGTTACAAAAACCCAATCTGCTTCACCCTCCTGGTCTTTGCTGTTTCACATGTGTGCTGGGATTAACACTTCTGCCCCAGCAATGGCAGAGAAGCAGGAAAGAGCGTCTCCGAGAAAAGACAAAGAGTAGAGGGAGTGGTTGGGTTGCCAAGCTAAACACAACAGGGTTAGGCCCACATCCGGATCCGAGCAGGGCCTGCTCCCTGCCTCAGCCCACCGGGGATCAAGGCTCCACGCTGATTTCTCTAGGGTCCTCCCCCATCCCACCCGCAGGAACCCTGGCCAGCTGTGGTGGGGCGCGGTAGGGCCATACCCGTATGGACGGTCTTGTGGCTGGCGAGGTTGCCCTTGTAGCGGAAGGAGGCCTGGCAGCGGTCACACTTGTAGGGTTTGTCACTGTGGGTCTGCAGTGTGTGTCTCTTGAGTGAGGCCTCCTCAGAGAAGCGGCAGTCACACTCATTGCAAAAGAAGGCCCCGTTCTCTGTTGGAGGTGGGGGGGATGCCACCGTTAGAATGTGGAAGGGAGGTAGGGCTCCAAGGCCACTCCCCTCTGCAGCTGCCTTCAGCACCACATGGAACCCCCAAGCTCCACCCACCTGACATTCGGGGTCCGTAGGCATTTTATCTTTCTGAGCATTTAGAGTCTCCATCATGGAGGAGAAAGGAGACAGAGTTGAATACTGAGGTGCAGAGGGGAAACTCAGACCAACAGCTACCCATACGGCCTTCAGGGAAGCTCAGCAGGGCTCCTTCGTCTAGAGAGAGCCCTGAGAATGGACTTTTCTTCTTGGTTCACTGTTTTATTTACATCCATACACAGGAGCCCTCAAGCAAGATCCTGAGCCTCGATAAGCCTATCTCCAACTCTGTCTTCAAGTCAGGACAGTCAACCCTGGTTTGCACACCCAGAGGAGCATATTGTAGGACACAAAGCGTTCTAGGAATGTGAGGCAGAAAATCCTACAGTACGTGGAGGCCATTAAAGGAGGAAGTGAACAGGGTCACCCTGTGCCTCTCTGCATTCCACGTCCCCCAAACACTTCTATGAGACTGGGAGAGCCAACAAGAACGGAAGTAGAAATGGCCAGAGGGAAGGAACTGGATGCAGAGAAAAGGCAAATAGCCAGGGGGACAGACGGGGACAGTCCCTGCTCTCCAACTACATGTCTACAACCCTGTGCCAAATCTCACAGTGTAAGTAACTGATTTTTCCCTTCTATGAGAACGTTTTGAAAATGACAAGTCATGGTGGCTCACCCCTGATTAGGAATGACTAGGCTATCCTACTGCAGCCAGGGGGAAAAGATTGCCTTTTTTATATAATAAAAACTGGGGATGCCAATCACAGAGTGTCCAAAACTTCAATTTAATAATTCAGTCCAGCTAACCTAATTCAGCTACCATTAGCTGAGCACCTACTCCATGTTAGAAACTCTCTCGGACCTAAGGGAGATGCAGGAACAAGTAAGCCTGGCTGCTTGTCCTTCCAGAAGGCAGGGGGAGCCAACACGGGTCAGTCCGAGCAGCTAGGTCCTGGCAACTGAGAAAGCTCTGGGAGTGAGAGCCAGACCCACAGACCACCTTGGCTGGAATGCCACTGAAAAGGCTGTTTGGTCTTTCTCTATTACCCCAGATTAACTCCAATACCTCTTTCCTTGTTCAGGTCAGCCTGGTTCAAGAGGTCAAGAGTGGGGTGACAGGCTGGTGATTCTATGTGCCAGTGACCTTCTGGTCGGGGACTTCTCCCAATCAGGGACAACAGCATAAGTGAAATGGAAATGCAAACCCCAGGGAGCAGAGGCAGGGGCCTTGCTTATCTCTGGGAAGGGACTCACCACAGCTGGAATCCGAGTACTCAGACTGGGTCTCTCCCATCTCCTCGGGAAACGTGGGGCCGGCGGTATGGAGGCACATCTCTGCATGCTGGGGGGACTGAGAGCCGCAGGACGTGCACTTGGGGGGGTGCAAGTAGAGGGGGGAGTGGCTCTCGCTGCTGCTTCGGGGGGAGCCTGTCAGGGACCTGTGGGCAGGAGGAAAGAGAGCTTCAGCAGCTGGAGAGGGTAAAGCGCTCGGCCTGGCCTGGAGGCTGCCCCCGCCTTCCTGGGCTCAGGTGAACCCAGAGGCCAGAGCTGGGCTGCCTCCCTCTGGATCTGGGGCCACAAAGTTATCCTTAAGCCCACTTCCAAACAGCATATGCCCTGAGATCACTGGTGGGGTCGAACCAGACCAAAACCCCAACCTAGGTCAATGTCTTCCCCCCGGTACTGCGGTCTGTTGGTCCACTCAGTCCAAAGTGAGTACGAGCTCACCCTGCCACCCTGAGACCAAAGAAGCTGCTCTTGGGGTTCCTGGAACGCTCTTCTACCACAGCTGGGCGTTCTCTCTCTTGCTACGACAAAATACACCAAAGCTTACTATGCTTCCTTACTGAGGCCAATTCCATCAATGGGTGCTTACTCCACACCTCTACTGTACCCAGTATTCAGACAAGAACAGAACATGGCCCCTGCATCCGTCGGAAGAAGTGGCCCCCATGGGAGCCCCTGACCCCAGGCCCAGACTGCCTCTGAAAGCACCTGTTGACGATGTTATTGAGCCGGCTGGCCTGTGGGATGGTGGAGTCCTCCCCGCCGGCGCTGAGCTTGGTTGGGGACTGGAGGTCAAGGCTCTCGGGCTCCATCGGCGGCTGGCAGGCCGGCGGGGCGGTATAGGCTCGAGGGGAGAGGCGGCCCAGCTCGGCCTGCTCAGGCCCCTCCGGTTTGGCATTCTGGTTGAGGCTGTTGAGCACGATGAACTTGTATTTCTTCCAGTTGCAGGCTTTGGGGTCAGTGGGGCTCTTGGCTGGAGGCGAGCCAGAGGTCTGGAGGATGCAGGCGTTCTTGCTACTGCAGGACTCCGTGGGCGAGTTGGGCTGGCAGTCGGACTTCTGGGGGCTCTGTGGACTGACCAGACCCTTGCGGTTCAGGGGTGCACTGGGGGGCTCGAAATGCAGGGCGATCTCATCCTCTGAGGAGGGCCTCTCTTCCTCCTTGCCAGCCTTGTCACAGGGGAAGTATGGGGCACTCCGGGCCGAGGGGGCGGCAGGCTTGGGGCCTTCGGCCACACCGTAGTGCATGTCACTGCGTGTCTCCTCTGGGGCCGCCTCCTTGGGTGAGTAGATGCTGCTGTGGCACACACCGGGAGAGATCTCCATGGCTGGCCGGCTGTAGTCACCGGGGATGGGCCTGACACTATCGCAGGGGTGGGCCCGCTCCTTAGGGAAGGGATTGGCCACCGGCATCCGGGCATCCCGCAGCTCTTCATCAGAGAAGAGGAAGCTGCTGACAGGGAGGTGACTGTAGACGGGATAAGAGGCCGGCGGGGTGGACAGGCCGCTGTACAGGCTGGGGGCAAAGGCTCTGCTTTCGCACCCAGGGGCGTTCCTCAGCGGCAGGTTACTCTCCACCACCTCCCGGCCCCGATAAGCCATGATGTCTTGGGGCATCAGCATCCGGCTGTTCAGAAACTCTTCACGGGGAGGCTTGAGCGCAGGCACCATCTCTGCTTCACTGCGGGAGAAAACAGAGAGGAGACAGGGGCCTCCAAGTGAGAACCGGAGAACGGAGGACCTTCCGAGAGACTGGCGCACGCAGCCACATTTGTGCTTGGTCAGCCAGACATGAGGGCTGTGGCTTGGGAAGAGAAATTCTTGCAGTCACAAGGCTTTTATGCTAGAAATCTAACAAGCTGGGACACAGCGCGGGAGACTGGGCCCAGACAAGAGCAGCGAGTCAGCCACACAATGTGTGCCCGCTTAGACCTATGACCCCATGTTTAAGCCACATTCTGTGTATATGTGCGTGAATCTGTCATTCTTCAGATATTACACAATGTAAAGCTTTCAGAGACCTTATTTCATCCATGCAAAATCCTGCAAGGGAAGAAAGGCATTACTGTCTCCATTTTACACCCATGGAAATGGAGGCTCAGGGAAGGAAGAAGTTACACAATGCATGTTCAGAGGGTCACCGACGAACCGGTGCCCAGTGGGAGAAAGGACTCACCCTGCAAGCTGCCTAGAGGCCCGGGGGCAGTTTTCTTTGGAGGACAGGCAGCAGCCAGACCTGCTTTCCAATCCCAGCTGCGCCACTTAGTGGCGATGGGACCTGGAGCAAGTTACTTAACTGCTCTAAGCACCAGGCCTGACCCAGAGAAAGTACTCGAAAATGACCGCGATGATGACCTTGCTACCATTATCACCCACAGGAGACTACGAGCTCTCGCTACACAGACTTGAAGGGACATTATGCGGGCAAAAAGTAGGTCAGCTCAACATGATCACAGTTAACAGAGCTAGAACCAATGAGCGAAGGTTAAGGGAGCCAGATTTCGACTCGCCATAAAGAGGAGCTTTCTAACAGTCTGAGGTAGACAGCAAGGCTCTGGGAACATTAGGTTCCTGGCTCCTGGAGGTGATCAAACAGAGGCTGGAAACCCTTCTGTTTCAGAAGGGAGGCAATCATCCTAGAGCAGCTGAATCAAACATGCTAAAAAAGTCAAGCCCCGAGTTTCTGCTCCACTTAGCAAAGCGTTTTGCTTTTTGGGCTCTCAGGTCCCCCTCCCCCACCCCATGCTGCCTTAAAGGATGGGCACGTCTGACCAGCCCTCAAAGAGGGGGTCAGACGCAGTGAACTCAATTTAAGTCCATAAATGTCCTCTCTCGGAGGAGCAGGGCAACACGAAAGATGAGGAAAGCAGCGAACAGTCTGGAAGGGGAACTAAGGCGCATATGTAAATCATTAGAATAGAAGTCGAAAGAACTGAAACACACATGCAAATAGTTAAAATGGGAGGAAGCTCTAACGGACAGGCAGGCGGCTCAGGGATACAGAAGAAGAGCTAAGGGAGGAAGACTGGCAATCGTAAAAACCTCCCCAGAGGAGCCGGCTTCCAAGCTTGGCCTGGCAGGATGGGTGGGAGGAAAGGGCCCATCCAAGGAATGGAAGAAAGCAAGAGGGGATTGAATGCATAGGGCATATCTGGATAACAGTGCAAGAATTAAGAAGGCAGAAGTGTGCAAAAGCTAGCAGAACCATAGGCTGTGGCGTATTGTAGAGGATATGCATGCATTACCAAGGATTTCTGGTGCCTTCCACTTCTAAGGGCTCTGCCCTCAGCAGCACCTCACCTGGCCTTGATAAACTTCCGGCAAGTGTCCACAACATGCTCCATCTGCAGGTACATGGCCGTGGCCATCACGGCCATGATGTTACCCTCCCGCAGGTTGAGGCGGGACGTGTACATGAAGTCCAAGAGGATGCAGAACCCCTCAGGGTTGATCTCGGGATCCAGGTTGATCACACTCAGGTTACATTTGAGCTGGTCCGTGAAGATGCTATAAAACAGGCCACTGTAACACAAACACACATGTCACAAGAACGGACGGGACTGGCGGTCAATTACAGTCAGTGTCAAGGCTTGTCTCCTCTCCCCTGGGCCTCGCTCCAGAATTTCCACGGCAATTAATAATAACTGCCACTTACAGACGGCTTACTAAACGCCAAAGAGTCATTAAGCACTTTACATACATTATCCTGTGTTCCTCACAACCTTGCCAGGCAGACATTACCATTCTTCCCCTCTACACATGGGGGAACCCAGATCAGAAGGCAAATGATGTACTCAAAGTCACAGAAGCTATTTTCCTTATCGTCTTAACTGCATGGATTACCAGAGTGAAATGTGCACTCATTTGCAGTAACCATTTTTAGTCTATAACTTTGAGATAAGCATTTCTCTTCCTATTCCAACATACGATCCTTATTTTTAAAATGCTATTGTCTGTTTTTAGAAACAACTTGGGTATCGACGACAAATAAATAAAATGGTGCCTATGTCTACAGTCTACTGATTTTCTACAAGTCTGGAGACTTTCTCAAGGTCAATATTCCTAGGAGACAAAAGTTAATCCTCAGGCTGTACCTCCAGGGACCTTGTTGTCTGGTAGAGGAAAGAGGGCTCAATTACAAGTCAGGATTCAGGCTGGCATCTCAATTCTGCTTGTTCTGAATGGGTTGCCAGAAGTGAGCCAGGCTTTAACCAGTAAGGAGCTGTGCAACCTTAGGTGAGATACTTAACCTCTCTGAACCCTGGCTTCTTTCCCTGCAAAGCAGGAACAATAGCGTCCACCCGACAGAGTCATGCATGCCTGGCCCAGAGGAAGCACTAGGTTAGCATCTTCTATTACTTTTACATCTCCATAAACCTCTGTTCTTGCCACTGTTAAAACACAGGTGTTTGCTGGAGATGTTGGGTAAGCTCTCTCCTGGCAAAAGCGATCCCTGACTTTACATCAGCTCACCTATCTGTACCTTTGTTTTACTGTCTGTAAAAGGGAAGTAATTATGCCTCCGTAACACAGAAGGCTACTGCAGAGATCCAGGGAGATGAGGTAATATGAACCAGCTCCAAAAACTCGAAATACTCGACCAATAGGAAGAATCGGCTGGCTCTTTCTCCCTAACTCTCTCACACACACATAGCCTGAAACACCCGTGGAAAGAGAGCCACGGGATAAAATACATGCGTTACAGAATCAAAGGGCAAAAGACTTCAAATTCCCTTGCTTCAAATACTGTAAAACCCCCTTCCACGTCTCCTTTCTTCACTGGTTGACTGAAGTTATTCTCTGTGTCTGTCCCAAACACATCCTTTCTTGAGACAGTATACCATTTCTGCTCCCTCTCTGCCCACAGAACAGAAACTCTTTCTTCTCTACCGTGTGTTCATTCATTCGCTTCCTGGGAGCCTACTCCGCCAGGCCACACGCTGGCAGTCTGGAGACAAAAGAGACGTAATCCCAAACACAGCAAAAGGCCCGCACGACCTGCCTGGCTGCCTGCCCACACCATCGCTGCCCTCTTATACGTCCATCTTTCCCCTCCCCCACCCCTCACCTGCAGGCCATGAGGACTGTCTTATGGGCTCTGAACTGCTCACGGCTCACCACGATGACAACATCAGTCAAGATGTCACGGCTCCGGAGGCGATTAAGGTTGAGGAGAACGTCACTGGCGTGGCGGGTGAACTGGATACAGCTGTCAGCCGGGGAGGCCATTTTGTCTTCACCTGGAAAGAAAGGGGTCAAAATCTCATGAGTTCTCCAGAACCCGATTCCTGCTTACCAGGGGGGTGAAGACAGACGGCGCAACCTGCTAACACGTGGGCAGCACGCTGAGGTGCTTGTGCTTGGTCTTGGACCAATTTGTGGGCCCATCTCTGCGCATTACTGTTCACATCTGTAAGATGGGAAAAAAAATCTTTCTCTAACAAGTTGGACTAGAAAGCCCTTTTGGGGACAGCAGTAGTGAATGAATATCTGTAGAGTGCTTTTCCTACATACCAAATACTCTGCCAAGCACGGAGAAGCAGTGAGTGTGTGACAGGGAGAGAAACCACAATTTAAAGGTTAGCCCGCCAGCTTTATCTTTTGCTAGCTGCGTGACTTGGGGCAGACTGTTCACTGTTTCTGGGCGTTGGTTTCCCTAATTGGGAGAAGTACTACCTATGTGGTTGTAAAATTTAGAGATCTGTGCCTGGTCCCTAGTAGGTTCTCAAAAATCATAGTTATTCTCGTCAGGATCTCATTTCATTATCCCAGTCACCATCTGTTCTTCCTCCTTTAGGCTCTCGAATTGTCTGAATGTACTCCAAGCTCCTAGCACACTGCTGGTGCATAGTAGGTGACTACATTGGCTCTGAACTCCAAAATGAGTGAGGGAAGGAATGATCGTACCACAGTTAAGATAGTCTTACACAGGGGTAAATGGGTGAGGGAGAGGGAATCGGCTATTCTTTATCTCCACTAACGAAAAGTGGCCAAGTTCACGGCAACATATGTATCGGCAAAGTGAAAAGAAAGTTTGTCCACAAAAGTTTAAAGCATATAATTAGATTTACTTACCCAACGCCTTGATTCACAGTCCAAAATTTTGCTTAAAATCTGCAGGGAAGGGAAAAAAGCAAACAGAAATTGATTCCATGAATGTTAGATTGTCCACTATGGTCTTATTTTAGGACACACGTACTCAGTTTTACTTTGATAGCTGCAGCCTGCCAGCTGGAGCGGTTTTACCACAAGCTAGCAAACATTTTTCCAGCTCTACTCTTACGGAAACAACAGGCACCCGAAGCTATGCGATAATCATATTTTTGCCCTGAGCACTGGAAACACAACTGCATACATTAATTATATGTACATATACACATAGAGTTCCTTTGTCAAAGTAGAAGGTGTATGCCATCCAAAGGTCACTTGTGTTCATGAGACAGAAAAATATAAGAAAAGTGGTTCTTTCAGTAGTAATGGGAATGATCCTTCGGGGGCCCAAGAACTCTGAACAATCTCCAAAACCTGCTAAAATATTATCTTTAGAGTTTAAAAATGATTTCTCAAGGTCTACTGGAGTCAGTACACTTATCCCTATTTCACTGGTGATGAAACGGAAGCTCAGCGATTTAAGTGGCTTGGGTAGGACAAAAAGTCAGGCAGTAATTCCTGACTGTCTGATCTTTTAAGACTAAATACAGGATCTGCAGAATACACCCAGAGATGGCGTGACTATGCTTTCCTTGAGTATCTTTGTCTTTTTCAAAGTTTCCTCTTCTTTCCCTCTAGGGTGGAAGACCAGGTATAGGTCTTCCAAGCTTGTGCTCCCCCTGCTGGTCAAAGAGTTAGCTGCGTGCTTTAGCTAAGAACTGGCCCAGTAGCACTCATGACATATGTACCTGTTCCAAATTGGTTTCTCTAAAGCAAAATGATTTTAAAGCACAGGTGTAAGACTCTCACTTATGATCATATGTGGGTTACAAAACAAAACAATATCTGAATCTTCTTCCACTCCCCCCATGCCTTTTTTCCCCCCTAAGCATAGCCGTTTAGAGCTATTTTCCGGGTAAAGGGGCCTGAGGCCAGGGAGGTCATGTTGGGCCACATAGATGGTTACTGGCCTGGCCCAAGGTGTTCTGGCTCAAATTCCTGTCCCTTTTCCAAATCAGCCTACGTGCTGTAGAACATGAAAGACAGTACCCTAATGTGGGTGAATCTCATTTTTAAGTTCCTTCCCCCACACAAACACTTTGCCCCCATTCCAGTCTGCTGAATCTTACCAAATGAGCACTCTAAAATGAGAGGTTTCCTTGAGTCTGTAACCAAACATTCTGACATTTCTCTGTGGTCCCAAGTGCCAGTCACTCAATCCCATCGGCTTCAAGTTTAGTGTGTGCATGTGAGTGAGTGAGGATGAGGGAAGGAAATGGGGGAAGGGAGAGGACAGGAAGAGATGAAAGAACCTATTTCCTCCTCTCCCATCCTAACTCAAGATGGGCAAAGAGAGATACACTAGATCGGTCCTAACCAAAGTTCAGTGATTGTCGCCGTTGAAAAAGAATGCTAAAGACACATTTGAGTTTCATTTATAAACCGTCTCCTCCTCCCCCATGAAAGACGTCCCTGAACACTTCTGAAACACCTAAGGCTGTCCTTTAGCCAGCTTCAACCACCAGCTTGCTTGTGAATTCCCAGTCACAGACTTTTGGAATCACTGGAAGCCCAGATTTGCAATTTCACCTTGGCAAGTGGCAATGACTCATTCCATATGCAGATTGAAATAAACAAACAAAACATTTGCCATTCCCAGGGGTCTACTTGTCAGCCTGGTCCTGGGGTTGGGCCATTTCCATCCTCTGCCTCTGCCCAGCTTGGTCAAAAACAAATGCACACCCACTGAGGCCCACATCCTTATTAAATCCACTCTTTCTTCCACCAGCTCTAGCTTAGGATGCCCCCCAGCTAGTGAGCCTGTGTTATGGTGGATGTGGGAAGCCATGTCTCCCTACGGATTCTCCAAGTGTGGAAGCACCTAGCAGCCGCTTTGTTTCTTACCGGCCACCTGGCCCTTTCCCATCTGTTACTATATGGGATCCTTGTAACAGCCCTGATTAACTGAAAAGGTCACTGAGGCTCCAGGGGACAAGCCTCGCCCAATACTGAAAGCTAATCTCCAGCAAAGTCCTGGACAAACTCTGTTGCCTAGCTCCAGCCATCCCACCGATGCTACATGCAATACTCGTAACACAAAACAACTGCTAAGAGAGCAGGGCTGTCCAAGAGAAAACTGAACTGCAAGGGCCCGGACCGAACTCTCTGGACCCCAGTCCCGCCCCAGCCGCAGTAACCACCAAGCCAGACCTAAACTTTGTCTTTCCACCCACACACTTTCTCTCTTCTGCCTTTTCAAACTCTCTGGACTTGCAATTTGGCACCTTGAAAAGGCAGATCTTTTTAAAGGAGTTGGAGAAGAAAAAAAGAGGGACCCTTTCCTTTAAAAAAAAAAAAAGAAAGAAAGGAAAAAGGGCAGAAGAGAAGAGAAGACAGCAGAAGAGGAAGACGGAGAGACAAGAGAGGAGGTGAGAGAAGGACAAGAGGCGAGGTTAAGAGCGAGAGCGAGAGCGAGAGTGAGCCAATACCAAAGGCTCCATCCATTCTTTCAACCCCGTCCCCGGCTTCTCCACTCGGCGGCCACTAAGCAGCCGTTTCCTCGCGCGCGCACACAGGAACACAAACCCGAATCTTGCGCTCCGCCGCAAGCCCCGGCTACATTGCCCACCCCGACCTTACCGTACCTGCCCGCCAGGGACCGCCCACCCCCGGGCGTTCTGCGGGCACCGCTGCCCATCTGCCGCGAAGCCCCCGCAGGCGCGTCGGAGGCCCCGTGGTGAGATCGTGTCAGCCCTTAATTTGGTTACATTCAAATAAAACGTTTCGTGCACTTCGGTAGCTAACATTGTGTGTGCTCTCTCTCTTTTTTTTTTTTTTTTTTTTTTCCTGTTACGCTGTCAAGGCAGGGGGTAGTGAGGGGAATGGCACAGCCCTCTCATTCCCGGAATGTAGTCGATCTCAGCTCAACGGATTTCACAGAACACTCTCTGCCTATCGCTGGCTCCAACGAGAAGTAACTTTCCAGGAAGCTGCCGGCCCCCGACGGCCGCCAGGATCGCCGCCTTCGCCGCCAGGGCCGCCGGGGATTCACCCGGGGAGGGGGGGCCGCCCCGGGAGGCTCGCGGGGAATAGGCGCACTTTCCTCTAAATCCCTCGCCCGCGCCGGGTCCAGGACTCTGAGTTCACCCGGTCCAGCCCTTCCCCCAAAAGTTTTATAAATGGGGAAAGTCGCACAAGTTAGTAGCAGAGTCAGTCTAGAACCCAGGAATTCGGGTCCAATCTGAGACTTTATAACTTCAAATTGCCCAATTCTGGCCTTTGTTTGCCCAGTGCGTCATTTATTTATTTTTGCTTTTTGCTTGCCTCCGCCCCCTTTAAGAGGATGGTTACGCCAGGCATCAAGGTCAAAAAGACGGGAGTCCCTAGGACTGAGGGTCTCCAACCAGTGCGCGCCAGACTTCTTGTAGGAAAACCAAACAGAAAGCCCCTTCCGCCTACGTTGGCAAATAGGGGAACCCTGCTAGGCTCGGTTTCCGCCCAAGTCTTTAGAATAGGAGCTGCAAGGCCGAACCTGGCCAGATTTCGGGATTTCGGAATCCGATTTCTCCGAAACCGTAGAGACGCGGTTAGGATTCCGCAGAGGCCAGGGCGCTGACCCCAGCGCGCGCACGAGAGCGTTCCACGGTTGGCTCGCTTTCTCTGGGCCTTCCTCAGAATTAGAACCCCTGGGCCCCCTCTCCTAATTGGTCCTATTAGTGGGCTCCGAGAGGACTTTTTCGGGGCTGGGGTTTGGAAAGACGCAGGACGTAAGGCCGCAGTCCAGTCCTAAAACTGGCGGGTGGCGTCACACTGCGCCGCGCATCCCATCAGCAGCGGAGGCGGGGTCAGGGCGGTTGGTAAAGACTGGGCCTCCTCCGCCTCATAAAGCCCTACCTTGAGACTCTCTCATCCCTTCGCCCGGTGGAATTAAGGGGAAAGCGAAGGTTGAAATTTAATATGGAATGGGGTGAGTATCTAGGAAGGGAAGTGAAAATTAAGTACATGCGCTTATTGGAAATTAGGATTCCCGTGGTTCCGGGAGCTCAAACCTAATCATGTCTTACCGCTGCTAAACACTAGAGAGAGCCCTCCATCAAGGCTTGAAACCAACAACCTCCATGTAGCTCCGCCTCTCCTTCCCATTGACCTACTTTAGACACAGTCTCCAGATTTGGAGAATGCCTCTCGCACCACCCCCCCACCCTCCCCTTCTCTAATCCCGGCCAGCCCCTGGATTATTGGTAATCTAATAACTCCAATAACTCTCCGAGAAATCCGAAGGAGAATCTTGAAGCGCAAAGCACTGTTTAGGGGCAGGATCTAGGAATTTTGATAAGGCTGGAGCTGCCCTCGTGAAACCAGCGTCAGGGCTCCTGCAGGAGCGCTCCCTTTCTGCGCGGCGGCTCATCAACTAGCCGCTCGAGTTTAGCCACGGTGGTCCAGCGGTAGGGGGTGGGGTTAAACCGCGCCTCTGTTTTTGCTTTAAGAGTGAAACACTCTTCGCTCTCTTGACGGGGAGGGTGGGCGGGAGGGCGGAGGAGACGACAATAAATGAAAGCGAATTTGATAACACGGTAGGCTCGGCAGTCGCTTTGGGTGACCGAGGTGTCCGGGGACATTATGTCCTGACTTTATTTCTATCACGTTTCCTGCCAACAGCGCTCTTTCAAGCCTGCAAGCTTCTAGGAAATGCAATAAAATAGAGGGATGTGTTTTATCATCAAGATCTGAAGAGGAGCTGCTGAAGGGACGCTCCCCATGCTCCCAGCTCGCGACAGCCTTCCAGAAAGAGCCGGCAGACAATGCCAGCAAACCGCGTCCCCGAGCAAAGATATCTCGGCCATCCAGGCTGGACTGGGCTCAGCCTTTGCAAAAAGGCTGCCGAGGGAGGGGAGCCGCATGATGTCCCCAAGCAAACAATGCCTTTAAGAATCCGATCTGGACAAAAGTCAGCCAAGGTCTTTATTCACGTTAATGAAGATGGAAGGCACTAACTGTCCTTGGAAAGCGATGAGTCAAACTTGACCGCTCTTCAAACACATCCCCAGATTCGTTTCCAACCCGAACAGAGGCGCGTTTCTCCGACGCGGCCTCCGCCTGCTCCCGCGGTGGGAGAGGCTGAACTCGATTCCCTCAGACCAGGGCGGTGGAGACGGCATCTCCCGCGAGTGGGCGCGCCGGCGGCCGTCGCTAGGGGTCGCCGGTACCCCTACGCGCCTTTGCCATCTTAAGTTTTGGAACTCCGAGAAAATAAAACTTTGCTTGATAAGCAGCTATTGTGGCCCAAATTCTATTAGGACTACACCCTGCCTGTCCACATGAACCCCCCCCATCCCCGACACACACACACACACACACACACACACACACAATCTCTGCCCAAGCCACTAAGCAGTCTGGAAGAAAGGGGAAGAAGGTCATTCAGAATCCAAAGGCGAGCCTTGGGTGCAGCGAGGTGCATCTCTGCAAGTCTAGGGACTGGGAATTAATCACCCACTAACACAGGCACACTCCTCAAGATCTGGGACCCCCACCCCCAAGCACTGCGGTAGGCTTCCCTTATCTGTCACTGAAAATCTTGTGCTGTACTTTCTAAAACTCCTCCAAGACATCTGGGGTACTGTTTCCAGCTATGCTGACCTGAGACATTAAAGTCATGGGTCTCTCTTACTGCTGCTCCTTTCTCTTAGATACTTCAAAGGTGCAGAGATAAACTTGCCTTTGACTTTGTCAGTGACCTGGAATTCAGAAGGTAAAACTCTGGTCCCTGTTAGGGTTCTAACTCACCAGCAACAGGCACCCCTCATGAGGCCGCTTGTTTTCTCAACTGTCCTAGAGTTTTATGTTCTAGAGCCTCCATGCGTCTCTCCACTACCCACTTCACCCAGGGAGACGCCACATCGACAGAAAGCGTGTTCAAAACGGGTTATCTTATTAAGGTTCTCTTACTGGAGGCAGATTCCACTCGCTGAGCGACGGTGGGCAGGGCAAACATCTTAAGACTTCCGAATTGTCATCTATCTTTCCAAAAATTTGGAGGTCAGATGTCATCCTCATTGGATGTTGCCCTCTTCTGTCAGTCCTAGCACCTGGTAGGGATACTTGGAGACCCGAAGGTGACAAGGTCCGTCCGCCGCCCTAGGCGGGGGACTCGGCTACGATCCACCACTAGGTGGCAGACTCGGTCCGTTCGAAAATCACCGCGCAGCCACAGCCTTCCACAACCGACTGCGCCCCCCCCCCCCTTTTTTTTTTTTTTTTTTTTTTAAATCTGTTAGCGGGAGGAGGTTGCTTCTATAAGCAACGCTGCAACGCATTTAATTTACTGGATGTAATTCCGTTCTTCCCGATGCTCACTCCTCTAGCAACCAACCACAACGCGGTTTCTGGAGCTGCGTTCACGTATTATACGTAGGTTTTTCCAGTCCCAAAGGCTGAATGTATTAGAAGGGAAGGAAAGAGTGCGCTTGTCTTCAAAAAGCAGAACGGAACTCGAAGGTATTAGGCGAGCTTCTTGCCAAACACTGGTCGAACAGCAAAGAAAGTCGGGAATAAACTCCTGATCCCCATGGAGAAAAGGGGTCCTGGAGGCCAAGGGCAGGGTTCTACCCAGGCTTACAGCGCTCGGTAAAGGCGGAGGGGGGGGAGTGGGAGGGAGTGAGTTTGGTCCTTTGGCGGGGCTGCTGGTCACAGACTGGGAGGCGGGGAGGACTGGAAAGAGCCATTCCTGGCTTCCAGCGGGGCGAAGAGAAAGGGGCCTGCTTCGCCACAACACAGCACCCTCGCTCGGATCACTGCGGTGGCATTCCCACTTGTTGCGCAGTGCAGGAAGCCGGCACGCGCCACAGTACTTCGACTCCCAGAAGGCTGCAAACCCAGCTACAGACCAGCTTACCATTGCCCCACGCCATCCACAAACCTCCGTCCCCAACCCAGCCGCCACAGACGCGACCATCACCGCCGGCAAAACTACAGGACTTCCAATCACTGGTTGGTTTTTACACCAAGACATTCTTCCTTATCTCAGTGTCAGACTGGCAACAGAATTCAGGTGCTCTGAGAAGTCAAGTCCAAGGGGGAAGGAGGCTACCTCCGTCTGGAGAACTCACCTACTTAAAGCCTACTAGGCAGCCCTCCCCCGCGCCCGCGCGCGCGCGCGCGCGCGCGCGCGCACACACACACACACACACACACACACACACACACAGACATACCCACACACAGGAACTTCTTTGCCTCTTAGGACACTATCCTAGCTGGAAAGCAACACTTTTCCACCCCATTTGATAAATCAACTACAAAGTCCTTTTTTTAAAGTTGGCTTTATCTCTCCTTTCTAAAGAAAAAAAAAAAAAATCCTCCTAAGGTCATTTCACAATGTTTTTCAAATATTTGACTTTTGCAAACAGAGAGTTTCACCCACCAAGGGGTGGCGCTGCCGCACTACGTCCTCTAAATCTCTTCAAGTTTTTCACAATAAAGTGGGTTGTGAGTGTGGCTACCGGGCAGGGGAGAGAGGGAAGGAAGGATTTTGACATCTAGTCCTGGCTACCATTTACTCAACCAATAACTGGAACTCTTTAAGGCTCAGGAAACGACAGCTTAAGAGTTAGAGTCCCATCCCTGTCCAGCAAACCCAGAATAAACTGAAGAGTCTTTTCAAGAAAGCATGGGGTAAAACCCTGCACAAGTGAGCGCAGAAGAAAAGGCCAACTGGAGAATTCCCTCTTCTGGCTTCCTTCTCTTCAGGCTCCCCAGTTTACCAACAGCTTCTGGCCTTACTGTCACTATCAGCAGACCCTTAAGATAAGCCAATGCTTGGGCCTGCAGTATTGGAAAGTCTTCCAAATAGGATATTGGAAACTTCTATTTATAAGTGGGGGGAGGAGGAAATATTTCCCATCTACAGGTTTCTATTTCAGCCTGAGGACCCAACTGGAGTCATTTTAGCAAGGGAATGCCCATCTCCTGGCGCCCTTCTTTCCATTTCCTTCTGCCCCGGAGACAATATTCTTTCTCCTTAACCAAAAAGAAGGTATATATTTTAAAGCAAGAATGTGATTTCACCTCATTCCTTTGAGCTCATGTTTGCTACCTCCAGGAACAGCGTGTGGACTAGGGCCAGATGAACTTCAACTTGGGCTGCAGATTTACGAGGTTCTGTTCCAGTGCCAAAGGCTCTTGGTAGTAAATAGTGAGCAAAATAGATACCTGTCTCCTGACAGATCTTGCCGGCCCCCCTCTTATTTTTTTAAGTTATTTATTAAAACCACACACACCTTGCAAAGAAAAAGGGAAACTGGCAGTCTCTGTAGAGGAAGCCAGTGGCATCGCTCAGAGCCACAAACTGTATTTCTAAACAGCCCTTTCCCTGGTTCCCTCTGTCCTGCCCCAGTTTTTTGGCTTTTTTTTTTTTTTTTTTAAAAAAAAAAAAAAAGCATCTATTGATACTTTTCTTAAAAAAAAAAAAGTAAAGAGCCACAACATTTTCCTCCTGGAAACTATAAACTGAATGGAAAAAAAAAAAATCCACAGAAGATTAAATCAGTTTCCTGTGGCTGCTGTGGGGGGAGTGGGTAGATGACCAGCTCTCTCTCTCTGTGATGGACAGGGACCCAGTAAC